ATAGTTATTCTGAAATCGAGCAAGCTCGTGCCCGTGAAAACAGTACATTTTGTATTAGTAGTATACTGTTAGTATATTATATTATGGCGAGCGGATAGGGAAACATAATTGACTATACTATATACTATTTCTACGAATGACCAACAGGCAACGCAGGAAGAAAATGTAGAAGAAATAATAAAACTCCGCTTTTCGGTCTTTGACATTAATAATTGTAGTGGTTTAACCTATTCCAATAAATCGTATAACGCGAGATAAAAAATAATAATAATATTTCGGCCGTAAAAACAAAAAAACAAAAATGAACGCACGCGGAAGGTGTTTTAGTGTGCAATGTTGTTGTCACCAGCTTTATAATAAAATAATATATTATACATATTGTTTTATTATAAGCGGCAGCGGGAGCCTCGCCCACGTTTCTTATTTTGAGTTCCTCCGCGGGGGGGCTGAGGCGGCTACGTTTAACAGTAGTAGTAGTATTAGTAGTAGTAGTAGTAGTAGTAGTAGTAGTAGTAGTAGTAGGGCTAACATAAAAAAAAAAAGGGGTAGAAAATAAGACGGTTAAACGTTAATAACAGCTACGGTCGCGAATGTGGTGGCGCGGTTAGCGTCGCAAAAGGAGCGAAATAAAAAAATATATATAAGAAAAAAAAAACACAAAATGTAACCAGAGCCATAAAACATAACGAGTCGAGGTGACCTATGCACTCTTGTGTCGGTCTACTCGCCGGTGTGTACTTCGCCTGGCCGGACAACGCCTCTTTACAGCGCACACAACCGTACGGCTCATATAATATTTATATACCTACATATAGGTAGGTACGCAAAAACTATACTATAACGCAACACCACCGCACACCGGTATAATAATAACAATAATATAAACGATAGCTGTTAAAGGCGGCTGCGGGTCTTTTAAAAAAAAGTCTTCCGCGTATACGGTTCCTCCAGAATTTTTACATTTGGCATCAATCTTTGAGTGGGTGGGTTTATATAGGTATTATGTAGGTGAACAAGAACGTTATTGGATTTACAACACAATATGTATGTATTTCATCAAAATTTTTGTATTTGGAAGTCTACTGGACTGTTCTATTCATAATATAGTTTTAACGATTAATAAACAAATTAACACAAATAAAAACATAATTTTAAATACATTACCTTCTCAGCTACGCATCGAAACTAAACCTCTAGAATTCGTATACCGTAAAAACATCTAAACGTGTTAGTTATTCGTTGAGTAATGCATAATTTTATGGTGGTTGGCTTATACAAAATATAGTGTTCTTAACTTATTCGGTGTTTCGTAACAAAATAATTCTAGTTTTTTACCTAAACAAATAATAAATTACATAATAAAATGATATCTTAAATCTGCGTTGCGTATCCCTTTAATTTAATGAAAACTAAAAAAAATAAAGGTGGAAAACAATATTATTACTGTGCAATGTGCGCGAATTATTGTTTTTCAATTACTAATATTATTATTGCTAATAATGTACAATATACGTCGTATTTTATTGATTTGTATCATGTAAGCTGTATGTTTTATGAGCTAGTTAGATTTTCAAAATCCTGAAATTCTGAATTGCCTCAAACTCTGCTAATAAAACATACAAAGACGGAAATTATCATTAGGTACTTGTTTTTATTTAAGCGAAGTTTATTATGCTTTCAAGCCACAGCCAGGCCCCGGACACTGATAAAAATGAACCCGGGAAGATACTTATCACACGATTTTTTGCTTACATTAAAAGTGACCCTTCTGTTTTTATCTATTCTTTATCGCGCTTAGGCGGGCACGATGGACTTGTCCTATCACAGTTTCAACTGTTATTATACTGTTATCGTGTTCTAGAAGAAGACGTGTAAAACATATATTATTAGGTATAATGGGTTTAAGATACAAATGCGAATAACGTGTGGAATCTATTCTACTTGTGGCACTGTTGACGGTGACTTTGTCGTAGCCACTTTATACCTACATACAACAAACCGCTTCAGTTGATAACAATAAACTTGCATGGACGATAACAGACAGCGTACAATATACCGTGATAACGTAGAATTATTTTATTATGATTATATTATTATTTATTCCGCGTTTATCTAATTAGATAGTATTTTTACTGATACCGAGAATAATATTTTTTTTATAGGCCACGTAAAATTATGCGAACGCATCGCAGTAGCTGTTTTAACTATAATAATTGTAAAATGTCAAGCTTAACTAAATCCGTTAGGTCTCAAAATCAAAAATGGATTACTGTGCGGTCGACAGACTGTTTTTTTTTCTAATGATAATAACAATATTATATTATTATTACACACAGACCTATATGGAGCGACGTGGTGTCTTGAATGTTCGGATAACGAGCCCGTCCGAGACTGTCAACAAGGGAACACCTACGCCGGATTTAAATTAATTTTTCGGTCGACAATCACAGTCGACTTTGAATTATTACATAGGCAGGTATGCATTAGGCGCATGCACCAAATGATAAATCGTCGGATTATTATAATAGGCGCCCTACTGTATGTTACTGCACATATTATTATGTTTTTTTGTAGAGAGTATAATATAATATTATTACAATATCAAAATATTATGACGAGTGAAAATACTGTCATGGTAACATTCTCAAAAAACTAAATAGAAAAATAATAATATTACTTATATATTATTGTAGGTAATACAAGGTGGTGTACTTGAGTACCTATTTAATAAAAAAACACACTTTTTTCGTGTCGGAAACTACATCAAATAATTATTTTCTCAGGTTTATCAACTCCCGCCTCGACGACATAAGCGTTAACTATTATCACCGTGTTTCATTTGTATGACGTAAGGATAATAATTCTAGTGATATCACCTATAGAAACTCCTCGGAAATTAAATTTTTATAAGCGTGCAGTAGATTAGAATTCTACGTTGTCTTCTTTCGCCCCTCTCTAATTAAGGCCCGCCACGTTTACAAAAGTGCATATATGGGTCCATTACATTCCAGGTGCAGCATAATATGTATGACTTAAGCTCAAAGTTGTTATGATTATTATACGGAGCACTTGACGATATCCGATCTGTGTTAAATTTAATAGGTTTATGAATTAACAGCGATGATGATGTATTGAATTTTCAAAGATGTCCGATCGGTTTTTTACCGCCGTCGGCAACGGCGACACGGCAAATTTACTATCGGCGTTTAATAAATTGTCACCGTACAATTTATCGGTTCATATGTATGAACACACACACACACTTAATTTAAATACAAACAGGGGCGTTTTGTTTCATTCGTTTGGTATTGCCGCCGTCGTTATGGGTTAATGCATTTGGCCCTTATAAGGATATGTCGGGTTTTGGCGATACCTATAGATATAATAATATAAAAATATATAATATATCGTATAGAATGCTCGCGTTATTCCGCAGAGAAATCTATAGGCCTGCGCAAATAAAAAAGTACGATAAACCTTTATATACAAATTGAGGACAAAGACAACAATAATAACTTTTATTTTCGATCCTTATTGGATGTATTTTTGCGCAACTAAACGCCACTGCACTCGGACACAACATTTATTGTGTTTGCGACCTCAGGCCGAGGCGAGGACCACGATGGAGACTTTTTCGACCGGCAAAAAAAAAATAGCCCACAGGCCACAGGTGCTCGCCATAACTGATAGTGATCGGGTTGACTCTTGACGGGACAGCTGATACTTTAGGTTGTGACCAGCAGAGTCATCGTGGGGCTAGGACGATTATTTACCTATATAATAATAATTATACGTGCATACTAGCAGGTGAATTAACCGTTCCCCTCTTGTTCCCATACCCTTTTTGTTTTTATAGTAGATATATAGGTGTAGGTACTTGTACCTACATATGTATAGGATAACGATCTAGCTCGAATTTAGACAAATAATAACCATGTTGAGGTGTCGAATACCGTGTAGTTTGTTTTTGTGCCTATTTATATATTTATATATGTTACAAATAGTTAATGGGTTTTAAAAGGTAAAAACCACAATACACAAACGCAGAAACCGTTGCACAACACTAAAACATGTACTTTTTACTTTAGATATAATTCAATTGGTACGACTGAAACGGCCAGCTGAACATTGATAGGCCCAAAGCGAAACCAACGCTTCTTTTGCATTTCTAATTAATGTATCTCGCATATTATTCACTGGCAGTACATTTAAATACGGATTTAAGATTATAAATTTGAACTGAGATTTGAACTATAGCCACCAAAAGTGTGTATAACAGCCGTCCGCAAAATGTACTCAACAAAAACACTCTCTCATGTCTTCATTATCTATGTAAGACTTTCTCTATGACTTTCCGCGGCCGTTGACGGATGGTTTAACGAATCTGCTATACGATTTCATCATTAGCTATATAGTGTGGCAAAGGAGCACTTTAAAAAAAAAACAAATAATGTCAAGTCATACCAAGTGAGGCACAGTATTGTAACTAAATAAAAACATGATTTCAAAATAATAATTATTATACTGAATTTGTTATAATTTATTGGCATTCCTTTGACATCATATACTTCCTTTGATTCTTGGGCAACGCGCAGACGTTACCTAAACATTACACGAACCGTATTTGTATGTATTATCATTATTATTATGTTCTCTCGTAGACGTGCTTTTAAACGTTATTCGAGCGGATTACCGAGAACTATAGCGCGTGTATGAACTTTTTGTTTTTTTTTTGTGTTTTTACGATTGTACGTCGTATAAATCAAATATACACGTTGACTCATCGCTAATACGTCGTTTTATATAACTCCGGAAACGAGGTTTATATGTATTTATAGATTTACATGTAGAGAGCAGACGCGTAGAAGCGGACTTTTGACCGAGTGTTGTATGAACGATCAAAACGGCGCAGATTATGCCAGCCGTGAATAGATAAACAGCTACAATAATAATCATATAGGTAGTTAAAAATAAAATATATTGTGTGTGTGATAACTCACCGAGCATTTTACTCAGGTCGGCGTTGTGCAAGTCGGGGTTTTCGTCGGCCAACTTTTTCCGCTCCACCTTGGCCCACACCATAAACGCGTTCATCGGCCTCCGGATCCGCTGCTCCTTGACGGCTTTCTGCTGCTGTTGCTGGGTCATTTTCGAACTGGGCAAATCGTGACGCTGCTGTTGCTGGTGAAGATGTTGTTGTTGGTAAGAGGACAGCTGCTGCTGCTGCTGATGGTGGTGTTGATGGGGCGACGGTTGTAGATTAGAGGGATGTTCGAAAGGGCTGCCGCCGTTGTGCTGTAGCCAACAAGTCGCCTGGTCTTCGGCAGACTTTTGAGAAGCGCCCGAGACGAGCTGCGACAGCGAAGAAGACACGGGGGGCACGACCATCTGAGTGACGGGTATCTGCTGTTGCTGCTGTTGTATGTCGCCGGCGGCCGTTTGGTGGAACTGGCTGGCACCGTAGTTCCGGTAAGGTTGGTAAGCGTACACGGTGCACGGTGAACCGGATGACGGCGAATTGCTCAGGCTGCTGTACAGGGCCTGATGGTGTGGCGAGTCCAGACCGCCGCCGCTGCTACTGTGATTCGTTAATTTAAAATCCTCGGTCAACCTGTGAACATGTAGAAGCAAACGGGTTGTAAAAAAACGTTGCATATATATAATCAATCCTATAACTGGATTAACTAGAACATAACGTAAAGGTTCACACTCAGACCCCGATTTAGAATAATGCTCCTGCAGCGATCAGATAATATTATTGCGTATATATATATATGCAAACCTTCGAAAACCATATACATAAGCGTGTCTTGAAACTCTTAGTTTTAAACGCGCTATTTTATTCCTATGTCGTTTATCCTTATTCAAATCTACTTATATAATATAATTATTACATACAATAATACTTTAATATTGTTTTATTTAATATTATGTACAGGCAATCTGTATACTAAACTGTTGTAAACTAAACATCGGACAAGGTTATTTAACAAGGGTTGCGGACGGTTAACAATGAAATTATGTTCTAGATATGGAAAAAAAAACTAAGAGCATAAATAGTAATAACAAAATATGATAATGCGCCGACGGGGATCGACGACATTGCACTGATAAATTCGCACTTTCTTATCAACTACAAAATAATGCTATTGTTAAAAAAACCATGTCAAATTAATTTTTCTTCTCTGTGCCACACACAGGCCGCGGCGTTATTGTTATTATTATTATTGGCGTCTCATTAACGTTGCATAAATATACACCCGAAGGTAGCACACAAAGCGTTTGCGCAGTACTCATTCGCTATATAAATATTGTCCCCGAGCTAGTGTAACTGCCGTTACCATTATATCGGTTTATATTATTAAAAAATTGGTACAGTGCGTATACAAACCTATATACATAATTAAAGAGTTGACCGCATACAAGACAGACAATACTATTATAAAGCTACTTGTATTACCTGCATTTGTTATGTTGGTGCGGATAACAGACAAACAGGTAACGTTATGTTAGATTAATTTTAATTACAAATTGTTTTTCCTTTCCTTTTTTTTTTTTTTTTATCATCTTGGTCTTACGGCCTACTGGCGTTCGCGTATACCAAACTGATAAAATTGTAATAATAAATTATATTACTCTCGGTAATCGTTGAACCGGTACATGTAAACGCACGGTTATCCGACTATGCTGCAAATGTGTAATATAGTTGTTAAATAAACATATTAACAATAAATTAATGATCTATAATAGAGTAGGTACGTGTATTCGTTATACGCCTACCGACATTAATTAGTAATAATAACAATTATAATTGGAGTGAGTGAAGCAAACAAGATTTTAATTTTATTTCAAATTCTGCTGATACACGGCTAAGGTCAGTAATTAACAATTATAACCCTGACAAATATATCAAATATAAAAAGTACTCGTTAATTGCAAACGTTTGTGTGAAAATCGAATTTAATTAGATATTAAGTACCTACGTGATTTTTATTTACATACTGTATAGGTAATGTAAATTTGTATTATTTTACATTTTTTCTTCGAAAAAGTACAATTAAATTACTTAAAAAAAATATAAAAATTACCTGCACTTTCTGATGAAAATACTACCATTTTGCGTTAATAATATTTATTTTATTCATCTAAAATATAAAGCGTATTATGGTCAATAACATGTAGAAAAAGTTGATTTAGGCTTATTTCATTTTTGAGTTGTTATTTTTATGCACAATCATTTTTTTACTACCTATTAAATATTTTTTACTTAGATTTAACTTTTGATTTAAAGACATCTTTTCAACAAAGCAAACTCAATTATTTATAAATCTACACTTTATTATTTTTAATTAAAAACTATTTGAACGTTGTAAATAAAAAAGAAGATCTTAGGTGATATTTTTTTTGTGGACTTTATGTAATAATATGTTAAATATTATAACTTAATATATAATATACATTATACAGGCTCGGGTAGCATTGTAGAAAACTAATAAATGTAGCAGACAAGTGTGGTCTAAAGATCAATGACAAAAAAACGGAGTATGTCATAATTGGACGAAGAAGTAGAGAATACCGACAAGGAGAGGTTATAGAAGTAGAACACCATAAGTTTAAGAGAGTACCACATTTTAAATACCTAGGATCCATAATAACACAAGATAGTGTGGGTAGTGACCTTAAGATGAAGGTGGACACTAGGATTCAAATGGGAAATAGGTGTTATTTTGGCTTAGGAAGTATGTTTGGCTCAAAAATCTTATCGACAAAATCAAAAATACAATTGTACATAACCCTGATAATACCAATAGTATTATATGGCTCTGAGACATGGACTCTGAGAAAGGTAGAGGAAACAATACTTGCGGTGTTTGAACGGAAAATTCTAAGAAGAATTTATGGACCATGTATCGATTCTGACACAGGGGAATGGAGGATACGCCACAATGATGAACTGAAGAACTTGTTTCAAAAACCAGATATAATAGCAGAAATTACAAGGAGAAGATTAATGTGGGCTGGGCATGCTTGGAGGAAAGAGGGTTCTTTTATTAAGGCGGTTATTAAAGAAAATCCGATTGGGAAAAGACCGTTAGGTAGACCGCGCTTACGATGGGAGGATCGTAACAAAAAGGATGTTAAGGCAGTAGAACCAAATATACAGTGGAGAGAAGTTGCAGAGGATAGGGAAAGATGGCGGAAAATTTGTTTGCAGGGATGGTCTTGAAGGCTGTAACCCACAAGAAGATGAAGAAGAAGATACAGGCTCGGGTATACATGCTCTCTATCAAGTGCATAACATAATAATGCTGTTGTATGTGGCGCGGTTGACCAGACAATTCGACGCCCAGAGAACTATTAAATGTTAATGAAAATAGTGCGCTGAACTAACACATAACAGCTTGCAAAACAATAGTCAACAATAGTAAAAAAATTATATTAGTCGTACTTTATCGATTTGGAATTTAAAAAGGCGAGAAGACTAAATTTTTTATACAATTCATTATAGTTGGGAAATATTTTTGAACATTACAATATTTTTAGAACTTTGACATAACTTCAGTATTTACTTTAATCAATAGATAATTAAAAATCATCTCTTTTATAGTTTATTTTTCAAAAGTCAAAACGAGCTCTTATTATTAAACCGGGCTACTTTTATATATACTTTGATTTTGGTGGGTGACAGAGTAATAATATGCAGTTTAAATGCATATCCTGACTCTTGCATACCCGGCACGCAGACTAATGCCCCCCCCCCTTCACTCATAGATTGTGAAAAATATTTGTTTTAACCGTTCGTTGTAGACAATTATTGTGTTTACCTATAAAAAATGAAAACTACAATTCGTTTAAACAAAATTTATGGAGATTTTTTTTTAATCTTATATGAAACTATATTACAGATGACGGCTCTTCTTTCGAGTAGGTATATATTTTATAATATTGTAACACCACACACAGTCACTCATTGACGGAGATTGCTTTTCAAAATGCCTACATTTAGAATTTAAGGTTTTAGAATCCCAAGCCAGTCACGGCTAAGTAGGCACATACTCGTACACCTATAGTATGTAAATAATATTACTAATAATAACAAATGTGTTCTTCAGCGTTTTCGAAACGCGGTAACATTTTTTTTTTTTATATTATTAATCGCCGCCCGATTTTGTGTTTACGCGTAGATTTTGTTTTTTATTATTGTTTACGTTTTGCGCGTGCGGCCAATAGAGTAGAAGTGCGACCACGATATCGACCCGACGGAGGCCAATGAGAGACCGCGACGGTACGGCCCATTTAAATGAAAAACAAACGAAAAATCGACAATAATAATTTTGTAGACGGGCGAAAAAACAGTCCGAAAACAACAAAAAAAATGTGTTTTATTATTCGATTATTTGCCATTTTTGGTTTGTCACGTTATATACCTACTTACAATATCGAAGATATCATATTGCCAACGAGCGCAAAGCCCGCTGACATATTATACGGCCGGTGCTGTCATTGTTATCGCGGGTCAAGAGCGTATAGCGTTGTATGTATTATAACCGGTGGTAAAAAAAACAAATTTTTTAAGAAAAATCAGAATTTAAAAAAACATTGCAAATGCTTTTTTTCTTGTCCGAGCCGTTTTTTCTTCTTATCGTCCGTCGACGCTTCCGACGACGGGTCACGTTTGACATTCAATCCTCGTGAAACAACGACGACGAAAAATAACCAAAGACTTATCGACTTAGGTATAATAATATAATTATTATTATTTTAGCGATAAACTCGTTTCGCTTACCGGGCACATTACAAACACGCTTATATATTATATATTATATACGACCTTATCTGCACACGGTATATGTACATATATATATATATATAGATAGAGAGATATTAAATAGGTACATATGGGTAATCGTACCTTGCGCGTTATACCTTTATATGTATAGAGGTACGCATTGCATAACGTGCATGTCATTCGGCAAACGGTTTCACTGAATAGGACGCAGGCACGACACCTGTCTCGTTTAACTGCATTATTATTACAATAATAATAACCGTTCCTCCTTCCGTTTCAATCTCTTGGAATCCGTTGAAATATTACACCCGCCGATTCGTGTACAGGTATACACAGGTGTCGTCTATACGAAAAGGATGACCGAAGGCGAACGTTACTGTAATAGTTTTATATTTTTTGTAATTTTTTTTTTTTTACAAAATAAGCGTTTCGAGTATACCGAGTTGGAATGTCGGTAAAACGTGCGTGAATATGTATTTTTTTTTTTTATTATAATAATAATTGTCGCGTGCGATAGACACAATGACTGCAGGCAATATTTTTATTATTCGATTATCGTTTTTTATTCGGATCAGAACAGTACAGGTGACAAAAGAAACAAAACACACGTCCAATTTGTTCAAATTCCTTCTTACAATCGGTCTGCAAAGACAACGATCAGTGTTTATTTCAGACTTTATGTTCTGGAGAGGGGATCAACAATTTTCAGGGTAATACTGGGTGAATCTTTTAACACCTTAGTGTATATAGTGTAACATTTGCATTTATTTTATAGTACAATACTCAAATTTGTATCATTTATATTATTGGCTATGGAGCTT